GGGTTCTATCGCGATTTCTCGCGAGAGAACGACTCTCCGTTCCCGCGCTTCGAGGAACGAATCAAAGAACGAAGGAGGCGCAAGAGGTGGAGGTGTTCGAGGAGGATAGAGTTCGAGGAAGAAATAAAAAAAAAAAAAAAAAAAAAAAAAAAAAAAAAAGAAAGAAAGGAAGAAACGTGCGCCGTTTACTGCCTATAAATAACCGTCATTACGTTCTGCGTTACGGCATCGAAAAAGCGAGAAAGCTGCAGCAGCGAACTTTGACTGCTCGGCGACGGGCGTGCGAAAGAGCGAAAAGACTGGCGCCGGGGGAAAAAAGCTACACCTTCCCAAGCTGTCGCCAAATGATGTAGACGGAAATATTTTTTTTATTGCAACGGTGTGTACGAGCTATTTCACGAATTCGAGATATTCGAGATATCATGTAAAACGAGTCAATAAACGCGGATAATTATTCAAACAGACTTTCATTATTATCATGACAATCGGTCATGAAAACTCTGCAATATTTTTAATTACATTTGTGAGACAAATATACTGTATTCAATCGCTATATTCTCTTTGATGCCTCTTGGTTAACTATCTTTTCAAATGTAAAACTCAAATATAAAAAAAATATATAAAATATTAAATAATCTTAAAGATCTATCTTAAAATTTATTTATCTTAAGATCTATCTTGAAGATCAATATATAAAAATACGGAAAATTAAGTAAAATATGAAAAAAAAAATGTCACGATTATTTTTCTAGTAGCATGCATTAGTGTGCGTCGAAGAGCGAAAAACGATTATTTCTTTGTGGGTTTTTAAATGTTACGCAAGTTTGATTGATATTTTCTTGCCACAGTGTCAAAGCTGTATAGGGTGTTTCCTCTAACTCGAGCATTTAGAATATTTCTGTTTTCTATGATGATATGAAAAAAGTCAAAAGGCAAAAGTTGGTTGATTCAAAGGGATTAATATTTTGCAAACATTTTTCTTATTGTCATTTTTTATGAGATTTCAAGATCGTCGACATTTTTTTAAATGATGTATTTTTATTAACAGAGATATTCTAAGCGCTCAAGTTAGAGGAAACACCCTGTATATCATAAATTATATTTATGAATATTTAGCCTAGATTTGTTAAAGCTTCTTCGTGTTGTATTAATCATTACCTAACACAAAAATGGCAATATTGTCGCGAAACAACTATATATCTTGATTACGGCTTTTCGCAACGAAATTGAGATTGACGTGAAACACCTAGAATGAGCGTAAAATCACGATTTCGCAATTATCTTTTCGGAATTAATATCTACTGGGCAGTTTTTCTCACAAAATTGATTTAGCTCGGTCAATTGAGTTCGCCGCAATTTAGACGTTCGTTAAAGCTCTAAAGCGAAAGCTTCCATTATTGCCCACGAAAATATGGAGGTCGATAAGTTTATAAGGCCGCGTGTAAGGGATAAAACGACCGTGTATATTGGCAATCTTCAGCTCGTAATTCGATACCGGCACAGCGCGACGAGCACGATCGACGACGATGACGACGACGACGACGACGACGACGACGACGACGACGACAACGTGGCGAAGAGGAGGAAGAGAGGCGGAAATGCAGAAATTGCATGACGCCGTCCACTACGACGGCATACCGTGATATCATGGTTAATTGCGACTGACAAAGAAATTCTCAGGCGCGAACTTGAGATGCGAAGAGGCGCCGGGAAAATAATAGAGAAAGAGGGAAAGATAGAGAGAGGATTCGCGCTCGAACGCTCGCGCGCACTCTCCGACGAGAGTGCTCTCTCCCTCGGCAAGCGAGACCGTGGATTATCGGCATCCGAAGACAATTTGCGTCCCGGGTAATTGCGCGTCTCGTTGACTTTTCATCAGCGCGAGTCGAGTCGCGATATGAAGCGCGCGCTGCGCGATAACGGCGAGTCTCAACATTTGAAAGTAATCCAGTCACTTTCTTTGTGCCTTGCGATATTGACTTTTCCCGCGGCTTGCGCCTTACTGTTTCGCCCTTGGGCGTGGAAAAAGAATCGTGTAATGGAATGGTGGACCACATGTCTCGACTGGGAATGTTCCTCTGTACAATTGTCTGAGTTAAGGTTCAGTTAATTGAGAACGAGAATTGAACCGAGAGGATGAGAAAGATAATTGAGAAAATTCCCAGATAAACCTCCATGATCACCGTGACGTGAGACAATCGAGAAGATGCCTCACGACCATCTCTACTCTCTCCTTGAGTCTCGTTGAACGCATCGCGCCGTTTTCCAGCGATTCATTCCGCATTGCGCCAACGATACTTACATGGTTATCATCGTCTATGACTCAGACGACAATCCCGCGTCCCACGGATCTCTCTGCACGAACGGATACGCAAATACGACGGGTACGACAGGTACCGTCGGAGTTCATAACGGTTCAAGCCGACAGATCGACGTTCCGTCGTCCGCGCGATCACGCGAGGCCAAGACTCGTGCACGAAGCGTGTAACTACAGGGTGTCTGAGCGTGTAACTACAGGGCGAGCTATACAAAAGTATGTATGAAGGTGGAGCGCGTCAGCTTGAGCACGAAGATCCCTAGCATTTTGCAAACAACTTGGGACAATTTCGAGATATTAAAGAAAGAAGATTGTCGAACCAGAGCGAGCAACTTTGTAGATCTCGCGCTCTGTTAGCGCGAGATCCAGACTGGTTGCACGGAGAAAAATAATTTTGCTCTTTTAGCAAAATCGTCGTTGCTGCTGCATATTTGTAGTGACATCAAAAAAATTTAGTTGGCGTAACTAATTTTACAAATTATTCGTTATCAGAGCAAAAGTAGTTTCGTTGCCAAGATAGAAAAAATTTGTTAAGTGTATTTGTCCTAAGAATCACGTTAATTTGCTATTGATGCAAAATAATATATCCTTAGCAAATTTATTTGCTAGTTTTGCGGAGCAAAACTGCAAGTGCTTATATAAATCCATCATGGTTCTTATAGCAAAATAATTGGTAGATTCAGCAAATTATATCCAGCAAATAGTGATTAGTACTCTTAGCAAATCTTTTTGCTGTCCATATAATAACGAAAAGATTTTGCTAGACCAGTAGAAAAATTTGCTGGGCCAGCAAATTATTTTTCTCCGTGTGAATATTACTAAATCTTTTTTTGGTATACAAGCCTTGCTAAGTGTATAAAAGTCTTGCTAATTTATCAAATTATTCGATTATATTTACCTACATGTTTAGTTGAAACTATTTCACCAAAGCATCTGGTTGCCCAGGCTTTTTTGTTTGCAAAATGCTAGGGATTTCGCTCAGGTTGACATACTGAGAGAAGAATTTAGTAAATATTATCAAAATTTGGTTACTATTACTAAATGATAGACATAAATATAGCGGGCCAAAGCTATGGCAATACTTATTAATTAATTTAGTTCTGTAAAATAAATTATTTATTTGACAGAAGTAAAATTTATTTGCTTCCAGAATATATTTGGTAAATAAAACTTATTGAATAGTTGAGCAAAATAAGCGATTTTGTAATAGTTACAAAATTTTTGATAGGTTCAACCAACTATCTGTAATAATAGATATTGAAACAATGTAATAGCTGTAAATGAATGAATTTTTCGTTGTGCTGCAACAAAACATACTTATACTGGTAACAAAATAGAACTCGTACCTACCGAATTTTTTATTATATGGGATATAACGATTTCATAACAATTATCAAATATCTGTTCATAACTGTAATATATTTCATATTAAATATTTAACATTAAGTAACTATTACTAAATTATTTAATTGATGTTACTGTGAATGCAATTACGTCATATTCCCGATCTATTAAATATTTGGTAATTATTATCATATTTAGTATTGGTTACTAAGGATTCAGTGAATTTTTGTAACTAAATGCAGTTTGTTATAGTTACCAGTCTTTTCTCTCAGTGCATGCTCTTCTTTCATACGTAGTTTTGCATGTCTCGCGTCAGACACTCTATAGAACCTAACCCACAACATCGTGCGCTTTAGTTCGTCAATCTTTTCTCATTAATATTTCAAAATTTCACGTGGTTGTTTAAAAAATGCCAAGGATCCTCTTCAGGCTGACGCGCTTTTCCTTCATACGTCGTTTTTTATGTCTCGCGTTAGAGCCCACGTCATAACATTGAACAGAGGACAGGTAAAGCCCTATTCTTGAAAAATATTGCATATAATATTTCTATGAAAAGCTAAGTGGCTATGAAAAGTTCATGAAAGTTCTACGAAAAACTAAATAAGCTATGAAAAGTTCATGTTATACATACTTATCGAAATATCATATGTGATATTTTTCAAGAATATGGCTCCACACGGAAAAAAAGGATTGGTTGAATTAACCAAAGATCTGGTCGAATATGAACGATCTAGAAATTCCGATCGAAGTAACCCGAATTCTGTTTAAGTTAACAAGATTTTTTGTTGACTTAAATAGAATTCGGGATTCTACTTAAATCGGAATTTCTGAATCGTTCATATTCGATCAGATATTTGGTTAATTCAACTAAACTTTTTTTTCCGTGTAGGTTTGTCAATCTTTTTTCATTAATATCTTGAAATTTTACGTGATTGTAAAAAACACGAATAATTATTATTTACGATATTTTTAATTACATTTGTGAGGCAAATATACTGTATTCAATCACTATATTCTCCTTGGCGCCTCTTGGTTAAGTATCTTATTAAATATAAAACGATTAAATAATCTTAAAGATCTATCTTAAAATTTATTTATCTTAAGATCTATCTATCTTGAAGATCAATATGTAAAAATACGGAAAATTGAATAAAATATGAAAAACAATAACGATTATGATTATTTGGAAAATCTTCGTGCTCAGGAAGGTGTTCTACCTTCACTTTCGTGTCCGACATCCTTACAATTTAGCGACGGGACATGCGTATCTGCATCCCCCGAGTGCCGGGGATGTTGATATCGATGGCCGTCCTATCGCAGATAAATTGTCGCGACTCACCTTATTCGCGAGGTCCAGCATATTTCCTGTCCCGCCTGCGGCCGCCTCTACCAGCTTCTGTAGGCTGTGGGGTTCCGGCGACAAATCACGCGCACCGCTGTCGAATTCCCAGCTCTCGTGCCGTCCCGACACCGTTCCTGAAATAGAAATCGCGGCGGTCATCTCACGGACAAAAGTATGTATGCGCAAACACGGCGCGCGAATTGCGCCGACGAGTCTCTCGCGGAATCTCGGCGCGGCGCGAGTAATGATAATAACAATGACAGTACAATAACAGTGCCTTTACCAAGCGCGAGAGTTGGAAATAATTTGTTGTAATAATTAAGATAATAAATATAAAAAAAAAATAGGTTTGCCCTATGAGCGAGTTAACGATTGCTTCTAAACTTAATATCTTCGCTGCACCACAGCCAATCTGTTTAGTTATAAAGTCTAATTTTGTCCAGCAAGCTACTGATTTGCAAAACCCACTAAACCATCTTTTTCCGCAAGATAAGTAAGGAATTATGTGGAAGGATGAGCAAACCCACGTCGCGTCGATTTACATTTATACCTCTCGCGCCAACGCGAGAGAACGAAACGTGAAGTGCGACATCGTATTCTTACATCGTATTTGATGTTACATTTCGCGTTTCGTGAGCACAATATAAATCCGTCGGCGGAATAATAATGTCTCTATCGAGCGCGAAATGCATGAGGTCATGTGTGGAGGTAACCACGTGGCCGATTGATATTTATGTCTGCCGTATCGACGAATAAAAATACGATATTGCGCATCGTCGCATCCCGCCGCACACGATATTCACCCGCGATGAAATAATAATGGCAGTAACAACGATATCTATAGATTATTTATTAGTTATCTCTTGATATTGAACTGTATATTAAGAGAGAAATATCTTTGTGTATAAACCGTTTGGAAATTAATCCTAGGGCGCGCTCTAGGTATATAATAGCTCTAGCTAAGGATATCCGAAAATAGGTATACCTTTATAGAGCCCAGATATGGTCAAGATAGACAAATTCTGAATAAGATTTCACAAACAGGCACCGAATTGATGCTAATGCTCCAAAATAGATATCCGTAGGGTCCAAATATAGCCAAGATATACTGAGAGAAAAATGACCTTAAAATCAACAAATATTTCTTTAATGGGTGCCATTAATATATCTACTTGATTTAAGTAAACAATATTTGGTTTAAATAAAGAGAATTTAGATTTAAATAAATATGTTAATGGCACTCATCAAAGAAATATTTGTTGATTTTAAGGTAATTTTTTCCTTAGTGTAGTCCATATTCTTTCTTGTACCTTACATTGTCTATTTTAGAAATAGCTATCATGATCAATTTTTTAAATTTACCTTTTGCACACTCAAAACTATGTCTGTACACTGAATATGTGCATTTATATACAGAAAAAAAGGTTTGCTAGACTAAAATTTCGTATCTTTTTGTTATTTCGCACTATTAAAAATGATATTAAGTTTAATGTTTTTTTGAATTTTTTAAGTTTATCCTCTAACTACAAGTCGTGGCCATATATGTTGTATATTTATTTACAGATTTATCTAAACGACAAAAATAGTAAGTAATATTAAAGTTACTAAAACTTTAATAGTTACTTAATTAATATATCAAAACATTCGGTTGATTTATTTTTGCTAAATTAATTTCCAAAAGTACGCTTTTTTCAGAGAAATTACTGGTTCTCAAACCCAGAGTGTGCTGGGTTTACTAAACTAAACAGCGAAAAATAAGTGTGTCAATAAAAGATTAATATATGAACAATATTTTTTTACTAAAAAAAAAAAAGATGAAACGCTTGAACCGAGGAATCATATGGAAATGCAACAGTGTGATCGCAATTTATATTTTATATCTCACTAATAAAGAGGTAAACTCTTTCTCATGAGAGTGTGACATCGCTCCGAATTCTTCCTCTTTTGTGTTTCATTGTCGCGTGCACGCGATAAGTAGAAAGGCGGCGTCTATTAGCCGAGCAAAAAAGTTCTGAGCTTTTTTTTGCAAAATTCAATCTTTATTTAAAAACAAACAAAAAAATATTAATCAGCGAAATATTTCCCGTTTGCATCAATGATCTTTTGCCATCTTTCGAGTAGCTTGCGAATTCCTTGACGATAGAAGCTCATCGGCTTCGAAGCGATAAAGTCATCAATGCATTTTCGTATCTCTTCAAATCTCACGAATAGGAATCGGAAGGCGTCATGTCTGGGCTATACGCAGCGTGCGGGAGAAATTCCCAGCCTAACGCAAAGATATAATCCTGAGTCGCCTTCGCAACATGTGGCTTCATTGTCATGAAGCAGGATCACTTTACAACTTGGCCAGCAAATGGCCTCTTTTCTTCTAATGCATCGCTCAAATTGATCAACTGTCATGCTTCAGCACAAATCATTTCAGTCGCTTCAGCAGCATTTTTCTTCAGATGAAACACGAAGTGGATGGAAAATCGAATATGCTCTTTTGTTATTGCCATCGTGAACACTACTGATTTTTGAGGTTATGTGCATCAAACGCCAAACCGCATGGCATTTTAGAAGGCAAAATGTCAACGCTTTAAAACCGCAAAAGGGCGGGAAGATAAATAAAATTGAAATTGTTGTTTCGGTTGTACGAAATCTAAAGCTCAGAACTTCTTTGCTCACCTAATATATCGGCGTGAACGGAAGATGAGTTTTGGTGTTAAATGCGCGTAACGGCGGGCTCACTTACCGAGACTGTTGTCGCTGCTTGTTGGCAGATATTCCGGCGTGTGGGTGTGATGTGGACTGCCGCGCCGCTTGCCGGCTCTGAGCGCTTCGATTTCCGGCCGCAGCGCGAGACGTCGTCTGAGGAACTCCTGATAGGAAATGCGACCGTGCTCGTCCGCGCCCAATTCCCTCATCAATTCCTCCACCGAATTCTCCAGGTTCAATTCCCGGCATACCGTCAATAGGTCCTGGCTGAAAGTTCGAAAGAACGGGGGGACATCGTTAAGAGGAATGAACGTACGGAAGCTCCACTTCGTGGTGCAAGTCACGCGGATGAGCAGATCACGGGCGACAGCGTTACCTGCCAGAGGCATAGAACTTCCCCCTCTTTTCCCTTCCCTTTGTTTCACCTGAGACAATTAGTCTAAATATATTCGCAAGCTCAATACGCGAAAAGCTCTCGAAATAGTTCGCGAAACAATGATTTTCCCGAAGATATTGTGATGTCCGTTATTTTAAATAAAGAGAAAGTATTTCAGAGTAAAACTATTTCAGAGTTTGCAAACTGCATGAATATCAGCCGCTACTGTTAACTGATTCTTTCAGCTAAATCGTACCGATTGCAGTGTTATACCACCAGTTATAAATATAGCATTTCAGTGAAGAATGTACTCTTGAATTGTACTCGAAAGAGTGGTAAAGAAAGAAGCGAATGCAAGTAATTTTCAAACCATAGAGAAACGATAACGTTCAATAACGCACGTGTCGCATATTATCCCATAAAAAAAAACAAAGAAAAACAAGAAATTAACCGCAAACACGATACAGATCGGCTGAGATTCAGACGGAGATCGGCCGAGTCCTTTCTCGCGCCGACGTCGATTTTCCGCATTCGTAGGCCCGAGTTATGCGCAGCGGCTGGTCGCGAAGAGTTTCGACTACTTAACGCGAATCGCATAATGGAGCGGCCGTAGCCGCTGGTCGTATCGCATATTAAGCGGAATGTGTATTACGAAGACATAGAACACTCTTTCCATGAATAATTCATCGCGTGAATAATTCATCGCGCTGGACAGGCCGCTCGCGGAAGACGAGGGCACGAAACAGTTAAAAGTGGATAGAGGTAGCGGCGTTCGACCGACGATTTCGTCCCATCGATATCTCTATATCCTGAGATCGGGAAGGATAATGAGAGAAAAGGGAGAAGGATAGCACGAGCGAGACGGCGACAGAACGTTTAATAATCCATTATGGAGATGATCGCGCGCGAACTCCGGCGAAGCCTGACAGACTATCACGACGTGGAACAATCGATGCTGGAAACTATAATTTGTTTTAAATTACATTTATGAGGCACGTATACTGTGCTGAATAAATCATTAAATTTGGTAGTTGCTGCTAAATTATTCAGTTAAATAATGCAGGCCAAACATAAAGTGATAATTGGGAAATAATTTAGTTATATAAAGAAAATGTATAATTTTCAGAAGCAAGATTTAGTTGTTTGAATACATACATTTAAGTCATCAATTAAAAAGTATTAGATTCTAGAAGTTTTAATACCAAATCTTGGTAGCAGAAAATATGATGAGATATTTAGTAACTATTATTAAAGCTCGTACCCGAGGTGAAAATTGTTCATGTAATTTTTTTATTTTTTCGAAAAATCATCTACTATTTTAAGACATCTATATTTTTTATCTCTTACATGGACGCTTTTTATCGCTTCATACATGAAAGTCCGCCTGTGGTTTCACTCAATCCTTTCTCAGACCTTATTCGATGCTTTACCTCATGATCGAACTGAAACTGTTGAGTCCTACAAGCTATGATGATATCTTTGTACTCACGCTTATAATACATCCTTATAACTTTTAAGAAATGTAGCATATTTTTATTAGCAAATATTGGAAACAACTCAACAACAATCGATATGCGACGATATCAATAAAATCAATAAAAAATATAACAATAGAACATATATTAATAGAACATATATTAATAGAATATATTAATAAAAATTATAAAATATAAGTACACACAAGTTGATAGTTACCAAATATTTCGTTGACTTAACAAGATAAATATTAGTAGTTACAAAATATTTCGTCAAATAGCATTGGATGATTTCATAACATTTACCAAATATCCGACAGTAATCATCAAAATGATAAATAAATATTTGATAAATAATTGTGTTTTACGAATAATTTTATAAAAAATACTTGATAATAGACGTTTGGTAGCTATTACTAAAATCTTTAGTCCATTTATCTGTGACTAAAACGTCTTTCGTATATCAAATCTATATATTTGGTTACTATTATTATATTTGGTATTAGTTATTAAATTTTTACTTAAATTCTGTAATTAAATACATTTAGTGAGAACTACTAGTCTTTTTTCAATGTGTATTGCGATTACAGAATTGCTAGGCTAGAGAGGTTTGCAGTTGCGCCAGTGAATCTTTTTTCTTCGTGATGCAATCTTTAAAAATTGATTGAAGTAAACTTGCTGCTAAATTTACGTATCTGTCTACCTGAAAAGGTGAGGTCGCGTACACAGCAAACAGATGTGCGCAACAGCAAGATCAAGTGGCTCCACCAAGATTCTCTCTCTCTCTCTCTCTCACCCTCATCTCGCGGTCCTCTCATTTTAACGATACCGTCGAGATTCATTTAATTAGAAGGGACGGCTACGCGCGCTTGTCACATCATCTATACGGTCGCCTCGTCGCTCCTCATCCATTACGATGCTCAAATAATTGTCTAACCGGCTGGAAGGACCCGAGCCAAACCCGTCACTCTTGATTATCGGTCGCGCCGCGACGCGCCGATTCGCGACAACGACGAACGCGGCTGAGAATCGCGGAGGACCGTCGCCGCTGATGGTGTGCGTTTGTGCTTGTGCGCGGCTAGGTCGACAGGACAAAATTAAAGATTCACCAGTTACAGCCGTCTGCTGCCATCCGTCGAGATGGCCGGAAAATCGTTAAACGAGAGAGCGACGGTGAGAGATGGGTGGATGGATAGATAGACGCGACCTCTCGCCGTCCTCCGGGCGTCTGGACGTAAAAATCGCGACCGTCGCGTGGAATATTGCGCATTCGCGCGGACTACAAGAATCGCAAATTAACGATCTCGCCGGGAAAGCGCCGGCGAGCGCGAGTGGACGCGATGGGATGCCGGAAGGCATAAAGAAAGCACCATAACTAATACGTGATAAATTCCGCTTACGTGATTTACCGGATGTCGAGGAACGTAAACGAATTTCTGGAATTCGAATTACAAATCCGAGGCTTTTGCTCGCCCGCTCTTCCCCACCACCTCCTCTCCGTTTATCGTGGATAATTAAGCCCATGGAAAATTGCCGAAAGTGTTCGCGTGCGTGAATTGCCACCTGTGCACGCGCGATACGGTATTTTCCAACGGGCGAATTTCACGGAGAGGAAATTAATGAATGACTGAGGTTTTTATGATATACAATCATGCAGATGTGTATGAAAGACGATGGGTAAAATGGACTGAGTTTGGCTTAAAAAGTGTAACGTAAGTTATACATGTGATCTTGTATCTTTGAAGTCACTGAATACGATGGCAATTTTATCTAAACGCATGGAAAATTCGTCTTAAAAAAGTCTAAATATGTTACTTTTAATAGTAATTCAATTAGTGATGATCATGTTCTAATTATGTGGTTACTTGTATTATAATTTAGTTTTATAACTTAAAAAAAATATAGATGTCTTAAGTTTAAATAGTACGATGAGATTTTTCGAAAAAAAAAAAAAAAAAAAAAAAAAAAAAAAAAAAAA